GCATTGCGGATGGATCTCGGATGATGACGATGACAATATGTTCATAGAATCATTGTGGGGGTACAATGGTGTACAGAGCTCGTGAGGGGACTGGTGATCACTGGCATTGTGAGATGGTGGCCCATGGGTGTACTGTCGTAGTACTCCAAATATATTCTTGACTGTGCGAAACAATGTTTGAGTCAGGGCACCACCGGTCTGAGTACTGGGTGGTGGCTCATTTAGAGGTGGGCTGCGACTTTCACAACCTGGCTGTGGTGCTGAAAGCGGCTGTTGGATACTTGAGGGTAATGATAATGAAGGCTGGGGGAGTATATCACGAAATTGTTTTGGCAGTCTGCGATTTGTTCTTCGTGTGCGACGCTGTGAGAGTGGTGTATCCGAGTCAATGTCAAGACTGTGCGCTACAGGGCTCTGATGGGGCTATGGTCAGTGGTGCACTCTGTATGGATCACAGGACATACCGTTGGATTGGCTATTTCAACAGCCGTAGTCTCTATGTCACATACATCCCCACTATGGCCCTCACCATGGCCACTGTTCTCCGCACTTTCTACACGACTCTTCTTTCTACTCATTAGCTCGCGAGCTCTCTCAAATATCATTGAGACACGATGTTTTCGTTTTTTGCAGTTTTTTTGATGCCATGTCAATGCTCCGTACTGTGAAAAACTTCGCCCGCAAATACATGTTAGGGAATCATCCATAATGAGTGACAGAAATTTGAAGTGGGTGGAACATTGAAACTAGTGCAGGCTTCAGGGGCGAATAGTGATGAATGTGAAGATCTAACATAGAACAATCAAGTAAACCGTGTGACACAGAAGAATGGAGCAACTGACATTTTCTCCATTTCTTTAACGTAAGACTGAACTTTAACAAAAAAAAAAGTTAAGATCCGGACAGGCACTTCTTGATCTCCAACGGGAAAGTGATATCGGTATTGGAGTCGGGTCACAGCAGAGAATTAGTGCATGGGAAATATACAATAGTGTTTGAGCTCACCAAAATGTGACGAATCCTTCATTTGATCCCCCCACCAAGACATGCCTCAGACTGACAACGAAATCATTCGAAGGACCCTAGTTGGTGTCCCAGAACACCTGTTCAGCCGATTCACAGTCTATGGCTCAGGCAAAGATGTTGAGTTCTTTTATGACTGGGACAGTGACGATGAACCCTGGCCTATTAATACGGCAGATAAGAAGGAGACAGACGGGGCTGCTCCCAAAGATGAAGGAATTTCTGTGAAAACTGAGGTAAGCGACATCTCTCAATATAGATTGTAGACTCACCTTTGTCGTAACAGGAAAGTACAGACTTGCAAAACATTGTAACTCAGCCCCAGTCTTGTGGGGTAAAACGCCGCCTGTCAGAAGTCAGTATTGACAACAAACAAGCTACTTCTGTAATTCAACCCCAGTCAGAGGTTGTGGATAGTGGAAAATCTGGTGAGCATATCAGTAACAACCGACAAAGGCACCACACTACAGCTGGTAAGAACAAGCAATCCTTCTTAGGCTTTTAGTTGATACTCACATGCTTGCATTGTAGCCAGGAAATCTGGCCAAGGGAGGCAGCGGAAAACGTTGAGGTGAGGAATCCAGTGACAACAGCATACCGAAGAGAAGGTCTCCCACTAGTCATGTTGGTCTGTCAATGTAGAATAGTTGTAATTGTGCGGTACCTCGAGCCATATGATCTACTTTCACTGCTGTGAATAAGGCATTGAATGATTAAAATAATGTGTTTAGGCTGATGTACGTACCTCTGGGTTCTCAACGACAATGCTTTGAACAGCCTCTTATCGTTCGTGTATTGTCACCTCAATACTATATCACAAAAAGATAATATGCATATAATATTTCATTACAGTTTTTCGTACATTGTTTATTACCGTTACACAATCCTATCTTTCAATCATCACCTAGGTATTGACTCAGCTACAGTTTTAACAGGATAGTGGTCAACTTACTGATGAGTGATGCAGGCGAGGGTGCATCCACAGGAACCTGTGAGTACAGTTCACAGGATGGTGGTTCCATCCCCATCTTTGAAACCTCAAACTGCATTAATCCCACCCGACGAGACTCGGCAATTGCATAATTTCGATACTTGTCGCGTTCTAAGTACATGACATGGAGTTGTTTCTGCATTTCTTCAAGCTTGATTTTCAATTCCTCATTTGAAAGGTTGTTGAGTTTATGATCTGCCGTGTCTTCTATAAATCATGTAAGATGATTGACGTCTGAAAACAGCAACAAAATATGTACCCATCAAATAAGAGTCTGTTTGAACACTTGCATCGTTTTTAACAACATTTTTACCCGAGTCTGTCAACTCCTCTGTGACGGTAATGCTTTTGAACGTGAAATTGATCAACCGGGTAACAAAGTGTCTGGACTCACTGGACATCTTCTACATGAAAACTAAGGCGTCTTTTCTTGTTTTCATTGCCAGTGGTGGACATGATGCGTATCTGTGAGATAGGATGTGGCAAAAAAGTGGAGTAAAAGCTGTAAGAATCAAAACAGACATCGGAAGACCTAACAGGCCACTTACGACAGAGGAATGGAGAGCTGAACTAAGCCCGTTGCTGTCCCAAGGGTTGACGGAACTGAGAGCCTTTGACCCTGACTGTCACACTCACATCTCCACAGAAAAATGAGATCACCTGTATTGTAGCACCTAGAAGTTGCCGTGTTATGAATTTAGATAACCAAGTTGAGAAATTGGTGTACACACCTTGAAACATACCAAACCTATTGCATGCTAAGAGCACAGCCCATGGGGAAACGACAATGCTGTCCTGACAAATGCGGTGGTGCTGGCCTTGAGTGAAAAATTTTCTATACTGCTCTCCATGCTACTATCATGCACTATCCACAAAAAGCAAGAACTCACCAATCTCATCCTTACCCTGTTTGTCATGATCCGAGAGACAGTTCTCAGGTCTTTTTCCAGGCAAGATCATAGCGTAAACTGACGACTGACCTGGTAAACTGTTACAAATTTCTCCAAAATAAGTCAAAGTGGAGTACTCAAGCCTTTAAATCACAAGAAAACACTTACCTTGTCTGTCATCAGCATTCCATCTACCCATCTTGAGGTCCCGTGTGCAAGTTGAAGGTGTCTAGCTGTTGAACCATTGAGAATTGACCATGATGGTGCGGCGAACACGGGAAGCAGATGCCGACTTACCGGAGAATCCTGATCATCCATCTCTACTACCTTCTTTCGAGTCTGCACTAACTGCAGTGTCTCGAAAACGCCCGTGAGTAGCTTCAAGTTGATTTCAATCATTGCACAAAGCTGACACAGGACTTAGACGTCTTTCAGACCCCTTGGTAGGCCATGGTCGCCATTTCTGTCGTACTGTCCACCCATTTTGTAACATCAACTCTCTCCTGATCAATGGACTGCTTCGGATGAGTGATGAATCAGACGATCAGCACCTTACTGGAAAGTAAGTTGAAATAGATTATATTTTCCTTGGTTTTTATTGAATATTTTTCTCAGTGAACTACGTGAACAGAAGATCTTTTTGAGTCTTCTTTGTATGGTGCCTGGGCTCAAGGATCGGTTGACCGATAAGGATTCGTCTGAGGAGGAAATTGAGATCATTAGCCAGCTGGTGAGCCCCATTATCACCTGAACCCAAGTCAGATCCCCAAGCTCTCAACAAGATACTAACGGCACAACATACCCAGATACAAAAAGGTGTTTCTGGTGCCCGATCTGACGACACCAAGAGCATCAAAGGTGCCATAGTCGAATGGATAACACCTCAAGGCCAGCAGCTTAGCCCACAGCTCCATCGGAATATCAAGTCCAACCGAGGCTTCAATCATCATCGTACCGGGCAACTACTATGTCCAACTGGACTTGATTGGGAAGATGAAGAGTAAGTACTTTCTAGTATATTTTTTGATGGTTTACGAAAGTTTTTCTATAGGACTCGAGCTAAACTACGAAATGGTGATATACACATTGCTGGTGACCACTGGCCCATATTTTTGTATGCCGACTGCATTTACAATGCAGAAGACCCATGGATGGGCCTGTTTAAAAACAATGTTTTGATCTCGGTGCGCGTTTTTTTTAATTGCTTCTAATAGTCTAATTCCAGCTTTTTTTCTTCCTTAGGCTTACAAGTACGTCTTCACATCCCCGTCATCTGTTGACACAAACGCCGAGTCACGAGCAACTCGCTCGGGTAATGCTCGTTTACATGGCATGTTACATGTTACACCAGCGTCAGTTGCATATATTGCAACACAAGTAAGTAGCTGTAGTTTCACATGATTGTCAGATGATAGGCTAACAAACTCAATGAAGGTCCGTTTTGCACTATCTTCACAGGCAATATTCTCCCGCACAGATATCACTTCCGATTCTGAGGGATTTTTCAATAGTGTCATGGACTTATTCGAGGATCCCGATGAAATCGAAGATGTCAACAGTCTCTTAGCGTGGTGGGACTCGTATGTAGTACTATAGTCTTTTATGCAACCACCATACTTACCCATATTGTAGGAAAATTTTTCCTGCCTCAGCCACCCCTACGAGAATCCCAGCAAAGAACGGCGCATTGGCGAAGATCCGACAAAGACGAGCGGCTCTCAAACACCAAATGTCCCCTTCAAGCTCTCGTTCTGAGGGGCAAGCTAATGCGGACAACTAGCTAAGCAAAGTCGGAGGAATGTAGAATTAAGTATACTGTATTGTAAATTGTACTGTATATTGTGTACACGCTTTCAATGAAATTTGTGTCCTTACTACCTGTTGTGATGACCTAGTTATCAATAATTAAAACAGCCCTAAGTCCTTCCAAACGAAGGCCAGCCTGTGTGAGTAAGTACCCGGGCCACTACCTAGTCAGTTTTGGCAACTCTAAGTGCAGTTACTATGGATGGCAGCCTACATACACTTGTATTCAAGTTCTCAGTGGTTTCTCGTTTTGCCTCGGTCACGAGCTACCAGGTGTAACCAGTCATATCAGCACTGATATTGATTGTATATCTTGCCGTGATAGAGTCTACACTATAATTCTTATAAATCTGATCGAAGGTAACAATACTAACCAGACATATAAGGTCTTGGATATATTATTGATCTTATTGAGGAGGCCGACTTCACAATGTATATCAGCCATATATATATTGTGCCGTTTGTATCAGAGCTAACCAGACATACAAGCTCTTGTAAACGGGACCAAAACTATTGTAGTTCTTGTGCTAATTACAATTCTTATAATGGCTTACAATCATAGATCAGATTTTCACCAATTTCCTGATGAGATACTCCGAGTCTTCATAAGGAAGAAGTCATCGGATCGGGCCTTGAGCTTATTCGATCAGCTTCGTCTTGACGCTTGTGTGCTTTGAAACGCTAAGGCATGTGCTTCCCCGTCAAGGTCTTATCGAATATGCCAAGACCCATCGACCAGACCCTCGAAAAGCCAGGGCAGCATGCTGCGTGCGGTCAGAGCGCGAATAAACGTTAATAAACCCCAGTAAATAATACATGCAAATAGTAGGAAAATGGATTATGGATTTGAAAATGTGGGAGTGACTTGTGACTATGATCAGCGCTCACCCTCGACCCCAGGCTCCTCCCCTAGCCACACTGTAGGAGGATACATCCTAGAGCGATGTGATAAGATTCAAGCCCACAACGACATAACCTCGCTGGGTTCGGATTTCAT